AAAAATGGATGCGGAGACAGCGCGTAAAACTTGGGAGTTGGAGAATAATATAAAAACTCTACCAGCCTGCGACGAAATTTTTCGATATGACGCAGAACAACAACGTCAAGTGTTGGATGCAAAGCCTTGGGAAAAAGATCCACATTATTTCAAAGACATAAGGATTTCGGCTTTGTCATTGCTCAAAATGGTTATGCATGCCCGCTCCGGTGGCCCTCTTGAAGTAATGGGCTTATTATTAGGAAAAGTTGAGGATAACGTAATGATTGTTATGGATGCATTTGCTTTACCGGTACAAGGCACAGAAACGCGTGTAAATGCACAATCAGATGCATACGAATACATGGCGGCATATATAGACTCCGCTAAAGAGGTAGGACGACTTGAGAACGCTATTGGTTGGTATCATAGCCATCCTGGATATGGCTGTTGGCTTTCAGGTATTGATGTTTCTACACAAATGTTAAACCAAAACTTTCAAGAACCATTTGTGGCCATTGTCGTGGATCCTGTTCGTACAGTTTCATCGGGGAAAGTTTGCTTGGGTGCTTTTCGTACATATCCAAAAGGATATAATCCACCTAATGAAGAACCATCTGAATATCAAACTATTCCTCTAAACAAAATTGAAGATTTTGGGGTTCATTGTAAACAATATTATCCACTTGAAGTCAGTTATTTTAAGTCATCTTTAGATAAAAAACTTTTAGACTCGCTTTGGAATAAATATTGGGTAAATACTTTAGGCAGCTCAGGATTGCTTACTAATAAAGATTATACTACTGGTCAAATATTGGATTTTTCTGAGAAATTAGAACAAAGTGAATCTAGTTTAACACGCGGGCCATTTGTATGTTCAGGTATAAAAAATTAATATTTCATTTTAAATTTTGTTATTTAAATAAATAAACTGTGTATACTTTAGGCAGTGATATCAACGATAAACGAACTGAAGACAAGCTTACTAAAGCAACGCGTGATTGTAGTCGCGCAACAATTGAACTTCTACATGGCTTAATGTCACAAGTAGCCAAAGACGAATTATTCAATAAAGTACGTGAAAGTAAATAATGTATAAAAATGAAATGAAAACAGCATTACTCTTAAAGAATGTGAAAAGTTAAATACATTGAATAAAATTTAAATACATTTTTTAATATTATGTGAGGATACATATTTCTCTTATATATTTTGTCCTATTTGAAAAGAGACGTTTCAACCATAATTATTATTTTAATAAAATTTATTTGCAAAATAAAACTGCGATGTATATTAAAAAATAATTTATTTATTGAGCAGTTTTTGGTATTAAACACAATATTTTTACTATTTACTTCAATTACTGAATTTTGTATTTGGTGTTAAGTTATTATTGGCAATGTATTAGCTTTCAAATATGATGTATGATTATTTTGCGTGGGACTCATTACATTAAAGATTATAGTTGGGCAACACAATGTTTAATATAAAAACAACCACGTTCGTGTCTAAGATTATCAAGACAGTATATTTTGCCCTGCGCACCAATTATTTCATTAAATGGCCTAATTGAAAAGGCTTATCCACTGTCAACCCTTATCTTTTTGTAATTAAGTGTTTGTCACGATTACAGTATTAATTTGTTTTTCGTATACCTAAAACTTAATGGCATTTGTAACCAACAAGAAACTATTAATTACTTAATTTTGGTATAGAAATGAAAAAGTTATTTTTGCATCGATAAAATATTTTATTTACTTCTTGTTTATATTGCAAATATTTATTACCATTATCTCCAAAAGTATATAATATTAAATGAAGGAATCAAACAGATAGTTTATATAACAATTGTTTTTTTAAGTAAAACGAATTAAAAACAAATGTTCTCGTATAGTTATTTTTATTTTGTTTATGTAAGAATTTTTCTGATAAATACAATAATTTCTGTAACATGCATATAACTTTTTAATAGCAATTACAAGAAGTCCGTAGTTCGAAATTTACTTTCGAGGGGTTTCAAATAATTGTAATAATTTAAGTTCAAATGTACCTCAGTCCTACAAAATTCTGGCTACCTGCCAGAATTGGTCACCGTCATAGGATTGTAGCAGTATACTGTAGCAGTATATTTTTCTTTATTTTCTGCTAAGATGGTGAGGAAATATTGTATATTATATCTGAACAGAATTTTTCTTATATGTCATAAACCTACATCTATAAGTAGATTAAGCGTTAGATATGACTTTTTACTAAATTGATACTAAATTCCATATACAGACTTTTTTAAGAAAATTATGCCCGTTAAACGCTAATAGTTCATGATATATTTAAACTTGTCTACAATTTTCACTTATTTTACTTTACAAAATTTATTTTCTCTAACTACTAGTCGACCATTGTGATTTTGTTAAATTTTACTTCCGCAACTTCAGTTCAAAGTAGTTTTTAGATATATCATTTTATACCGTTTATTGAAATCTATAGTTAATGCAATATTGAAGTTCAAATGTAAAAACTGAAATATATCAGAAATGTGTAGTTTATAGTATCAAAAGACATCTCTTCTCTTGACCCCAACTTCCCCTAAATAGATCACTGCGAACAAATTACACAAATAATAAAATTTAAATAATATTGCACCATTGGCAAATTTTGATGTAAATTTTGAATATTGTTGTTTGACTCTAGATAAATTTTCATGCCCACCGCTGCTCATAAAGGTGTTTCTTTGAAGTTGTATAGAAGGAACAACAATAACTAATAAACCGGAAGACAAAAAAAAAACACCCAACACAATAGAAGCCATAATAGCTTATAAATGAGTTATTAAAAAGTTTCTGCTATTCTGCAGATTTTATTTTATTAATTTTTTGTTTAAAAATTGTTTCTTATTTCAAGAAATCTTTCTTTTTTTTCGAATCGAGTGTAGAAAGAGCGTAAAATCAATTAAACTAAAAGCAGTTATATCCTTAACAGAACGCTTTTCCTGCTTATACTGCTATAATAACAAAATATTTAAATAGACCTACTAATCAAACACCACCAAATTAAAGCAATAATTCCTGGATAAGAATCGATAGATAAAGGCATGGCTTTTGCAAAAAATTTATTTCACACTTTCTCGTCAAATGAAAATGAAAAACAACTGGATGTAACTTTTTAGTTTAAGATGAGGTATGAAGGTTATCCTTCATGAAATTAAAATCCTCTATTCCTCTAAACCCTTTAGAGTAAAACAAAAAACAAATATTCTAATCTGCTGCTATTCTGCAAAAAAGTATTCTAGGACCATTACCTTTTTACATATATTGTATGCACGCGATTTACCTACAACAATAATCAATATGTTAGTTCATATGCTGATGACACAGCAATTGTCGCAGTTGACAAAAGAACGAAAAACGCCTTAATAAAATTATAATCGATGAACTTTCCTATGCTAACCCAGCCAAATATCTAGATATAACTCTTCAGAACATGTAAAAATAAAAAAGCGATACTAAATTATAAATTGAGTAAAATGGATATAGATATATATAGATCCTTCTATATAATCAGATCTTAAAACCGGTCTGACGTTATGGAACACAGCTATGGGGATGCGCCAGTAAAAAGTAAAAAAGGATTTTTTAATTCAAAGCTTATAAAATAAATTTCTATAAGGTATCATAAAACAGTCATGGTACATTAAAAACCCTGATATACATCGTAACTAAAGAATACATAGGCATTCTTTGATCGTGACCTTAATATTGTGACAATTAAAGAAAAAATTAGACCACAAGTAAGTAATAAATGCTAAAGCTAAAGAAGCATGTAAACGAAGAAGCATGTAATCTTCTCAACATTTCAGGCCGACTCATTCTTGGAGTTTAGTCAAAATAAGAAGAAATTTGTATTATTTAAGTTACTAAATATAATTATTTTTGTTTGAATTTATAAAAAATTGTATTTCTGTATTTCTGCAACAAATTGTAAATTCGGTCTTAATTTTATTTATTCCTTCACTTAGTATTATATTTCAGTGGCAACTGGTGTTTGCACCTCATATGTGCGCCCATGGCAGGATATAACTTACGCACAAATAAATATGTACATTTAGTATATAATAAACGCGGGATATTTACTTAAATATACATAATTCACAGGAGAATTCACGCAATTCGATTATCAAAGTTTGATGGGTGACTGGGAACCTATAAAAGTCACGCACAACATTTCCATCGTATCATTTGGTGAGCGTAAAGCGAAGAATAAATATAATTTTATTAAAAAAATAAAATAAACTTGCGCATAAAACAGCAGCGGAGATACTAAAAAACCAAACTTCTCACTCAATTTGTATGATTTAGTGGAGCGTCAAAATTTGCCAAAAACAGCTTCAGTAGCAAAAATCACATTTGAAGCTGCAACACACGTAACTAAGTTAAGTGGAGTCAATATTTTCTAAAAATAATATTTTAAAATTTTGTAAATTTTGTGTAAAAAATAAATAATAAAATAAATTTCATAAAAATTATGTAAAAGTACAAAATAATAAAAATACTAATAAATACGAAAAATGTTTTAAAACTGTTAAACTAAATAAATTACAAATTAATTAAATATTTAGTAAAAATTTACTTTAATAATTTAAAAATAATAAAAAAAAAAGATTTGTGTATTTAATACTCTAAAGAACAATATTGCTGAATTTGAATTTATTGAAAGTTAATAATTCTTCTTTTAGTGTATAATATTTGTATAAAATTAAAAAAACAAAAAACAAATTAAATAAAAGCAAAATAAGAAATAACTTATTATTCATAAAAAATAATACCTATAAAAATAGCTTTAAATATTGAAAGTAATGTCCTAAAGCGCACATAACATATTTTTATTGTGATTGTATCATAAATACGCTAACTTATCACATTAAGTACAAATACTTTAAATGTAAAGTAAAAACAAACAAAAGACTTACAGCTGCTGCACAGCATCAGTTAACTTTAAGCAGCTACCCGCAACGGGCGGATTCCTACTCATCCTACTCTTAATCTACCTCAGACCACTGCCATAACAACGCATTAATAACGCACGAAGTCAATAAATCAAAAGCACACGCGCGCCGAAAGTCAACATTAAACAACAACAGTAAAAACAGCAACAACAACTTGGCAGCCACATTAATCACGCACAAATACCGTTAAAATAATTGTTTGCACATCCAAACCCTTGACAAATTTTTGCTCCTTTGCTTCCCGAAATACTTCATTTGTGTCGTAAAAATGTATGGGATGGTGTTAGAAAGCGTGCAGTATTATATACAGGCGGAATATGGCAATAATATTTGGAAAGAGATTTGCAAAATTGTGGATTGTAAGCATCAAACTTTTAAGACCCATCAGATCTATCCGGATAAGTTGATGCCCGATATTGCTGCAGCCGCTGCTGCTTGTACTGGAAAATCATTTGATTTTTTTATGAATTTCTTTGGACGTTGTTTTGTGCGTTTCTTTAGTAACTTTGGCTACGACAAGATGATACGTTCGACTGGTCGCTACTTTTGTGATTTCTTACAATCTATTGATAATATACATCTTCAAATGCGGTTCACATACCCGAAAATGAAAAGTCCCAGCATGCAGTTAACGCATATGGACAATGATGGTGCAGTTATTTTATATAGAAGCGGACGCACTGGCTTCTCCAAATATTTAATTGGGCAATTTGTTGAAGTGGCTAAGGAGTTTTATAATTTGGATATCAAAGCTTATGTAATTGAAAGCCAGAACGATATATGTGGTGGAACTACTGGTCCTATACATTTATCTGATCAACCTCTCACTGTTATAGTTAAATATCGTTTAGACTTCGATAACCATGATTATATGGCCAACCGTGTTAATGTTATTGTTCATCCCTCCCAACTTAGATTACCAGCTATAAATATGGATGTCTTTCTAGATTTATTCCCTTTTACTGTTGTATTGAATCATGACATGAAAATTACACACGCTGGCGAAAAAATTGTAGAAACTTGGATATTGCATAATCCAAATAAAAACGCCAAAACATTTATTGGGTCACATATTCTGGATCTATTTTTATGTCGCCGTCCTAAGGGCACTTCAATTGACTGGGATACAATCATACAAATGCGAACAGTATTATTTGAGTTTGAGTTATTACGTTCAGTTCGTAGTCGATTTGATGTTGATAATGAAAACTATGATGAAATTGTATTGAATGAAGCGCATTTGCCAACGAATAAAAACCATGATTTAGGAGCAAGTTTTTTGGATGTTGAGCAAAAGAAGGATGGCGGCAACACACCTAGTGGTGGGCGTAAAATATCTCAAGGCCAAAAATCTATATTATTAAAAGGTCAAATGTTTTATTTAAAAGATGTGGATTCACTTATATTTCTCTGTAGTCCGCTTATTGAAAATCTTGATGAACTTCATCAAATTGGATTATATTTAAATGATCTCAACCCGCATGGTCTTAGTAGAGAACTTGTAATGGCTGGATGGCAACATTGCTCAAAACTAGAAATTATGTTTGAAAAAGAAGAGCAACGTACGGATGAGCTCGAAAAGTCACTTGAACTGGCAGATTCCTGGAAGAGACAAGGTACTCCAATTTATTTTGTTTGCATATGATATTAAAATATCCTAAAGTTCCTAATTAATTCTGTTTTAATTTAACGCCATATATTGAAGTCTGCATACATTTTCTTCCTTATGTATAAACAAAATAAACAGTAATTGTGTGTATTAATAGTGAGTTAAGAAAGGTCCCGATTTTAAAACTATCATTCAATCACTATTATTGCGAACAGCTCGTTTCTCTTTTAGGGGTTTCTAAAATAAGCAATTTTCTGTTTTTTTTTTTTTTTAAATATAGAAAATAGTTAATTTTATTGGTTAATTATACGATAAAATTACGTAGCTATAGTAATTTCCATTATCTTTTTACAATGTGTACACATACAGAAAAAATTATTAATTAAGCATTATTTTTGATTTATCACTCTGGATACGGTTTCAGAATTTCAATACGATATAGAATTTAGAATTTCTTCAATAAGTTCTTTTCGTTTATCACGCTTGGCTCTATTATCTATATTTTCCATATTCCACTCTGCGTAATGTTACTGTAAAGTTCCCGTAGGGTTGCAAACCAGGCCAAGTCTTTATTGATTCAAATTTTAAATTTTATGAAAGTTTGATTATAGTTTTCAGGATAACATTAATTTTACAAATAAATGATGATCTTTCTAACAAGTTTCTAACATATGTCGTCGTCAATGTGTCGGCTTCTTCAAAGCAGTGTAATCCAAAACTGATCGGGATGTTAAAAGAAATAATTTCACTTATGTCTCAGGTCCTCTAAAATGGTTCGACAAAAAATATCGCCAGGCACAAGTGTTTGCTATCTTTTTAAAATATAATTAAGTGTTTCAGAAAGATCACTATTTTCATATTGCTGTATATTAAATCCAAGTACTTGCTCAATATGACGAACAGGCCTTTATTGTAAAAATTCATATAAGAGACTTTCTCTGATAATTTAACCTTCACAGTTCATAAAAGAGATGCCACGGGATGTACATATTTCTACAGTGATTCAATTAGTTATCCTTTTTGTGTATACAAAAATAACAGTTGTGAAGCTTCCATCAAATGTTTTGTCAAGTTATAAATCACATTAAAATATTAGTTAGCTTAACTAGGAAGGTACCTGTAGTTTATTTAAAAAATTTGTTCAGAAATCTATCCATTCTTGGAGCTTTGTTATCTTTAATATTTTAACTTTGTTGCCAAAATAGTTACAATATCTAATTCTCTTCTGTAGACAGTTAAACACTTTTCTGCAATCAGTTTTAGTATCGCTCATATTATTAATTATTGAAAATGAAAAAAATGATTAATTAATATTACTTATTTATAGGTGATGAATTGCTTTACTCAATGATTCCACGACCCATTGCTGAACGTATGCGCAATGGTCAAGAAGCAACATGCCAAAGCTTTGAAGAAGTTTCCGTAATTTTCATTGAAGTTATGAACATATACGATAGTGGCTCTAAAACTATACAGGATGCTATGCTGGCTGTTAATACACTTAATACTGTTTTTTCCGCTTTTGATGAGGAAATTATTTCGCCATTTGTGTATAAAGTAGAAACGGTGGGAATGGTTTACATGGCTGTTTCTGGTGCTCCGGACATAAATCCTTTGCATGCAGAACATGCAAGTGATTTAGCTTTACGGATTGTTAAAAAAGTGAAAGCACTACAAATACCTGACTTAGCTATACGTGTAGGTATACATTCAGGGCCAGTGGTAGCAGGTGTTGTTGGTCTTAAGGTACCAAGGTATTGCTTATTTGGTGATACAGTAAATACCGCATCACGCATGGAGAGTTCAAGTGAACCATACAAAATACAATTATCGAACACTACAGCACAGAAAGTTCGAGAAGCTGGCTATACAGTCGAATCACGCGGTTTTGTTAAAGTAAAAGGCAAAGGTGAAATGGAAACATTTTGGCTAACTAATGGACCAAATAATTAAAAATTGTTAAGCTAACTTATTGTTTAAATATTGTTACTCCATATTATTGTTATATCTTGATGATTTCAACTAAATAAACTAAATAATAAAGCACAATACTGAATTAATAACGAAATAGAAATTGACAATATTTTTTTTTTGTGAAAGAAAAAATCCAGCATAAGTCGTAGTTTCTCGTATCTGTAATGAAATCCTTTCTGCTACATCTATTCGAAAACCAATGGTCTTGAAATTAACCTTTGTTTTGTTGATCATTAATATAAAAAATAAAAGAGAAACAATTTTTGATTTTAAAATTAATTTAATGATTACTTACTTTTATGATTTACTCGTAAATAAGAAAAACCCAAAATATATTTTTTTTTATATCGACCTTAAATCACTTATTAATTAATAAAATATAAAATGTAAACCATCTATAAAAATTATTAATAGAATACGGACTAATGACGCAAAATAGGGTATTCCTTTTTGCCTGCCAACAATTATTTATACATACATATATACATATATATACAATTCATTTTTCAGACTTTCTTTTTTCAGGAGGTGATTTCTTGGTCAAAGAAATGAAAAATCTTCCATATTCAATACTTACCATTCTTTTCACCTCCGGTTAAATTAATGACTAATTAATAGTCGATTATTAATAACTGCCAGTTAGGAAACGTTAATAACAAATAAATAATAAAATAAAAAATAAATAAATTATTACGAAAAGTTATAGCACTATTGTAATTATTTTTATCAAAATGATGAGTTGTTCACTTTGTTTTAATTTTTTTTAATTATATATATAAATTAAGTTTAGAAATTAGAAATTAAATTAAAATAAATTAAGTTTGAATTTTGAACACATTTTTGTTTATTAGTTTTAAGAAATAATGGATTTATATTTATTTATTCAGAGTAAATATATGCTATATATGTAAGTATATCTAATTGAATTTTGTTATTACAATTTTATTCTTGCACTTTATTTCACTTAATTTTTTAATTTGGAAAATATATATAAAACCCACAATCAATATTAAATTAAAGAAATCGTCCATAATTCCTAAACATCATTTGTTAACCATAGAAAATTGGCTGTTAAACAAAATTTCATGTTAAATAATTCAACAGAAGGCTCTAATGTTTAAATTTGGGTTAATTGAAGAAATATCATTTAAAATTTTCTTTGTGAAAGTTTTTTTTGTTGACTTTTTTTTGACAATAATAAAAATCAACCATTCCTTAATGGTTTCCGTTTTCATTGCACCCACATATTACACAGTTAGTAGGCACATTGTGTATACATTGAATGTCGAATATTTGTTTATAAAAAAAAGCATAAACAGCTTTTAAAAATAGTGGTAAGACTCAATGTTCTTATCAAAGAAATTCGATATAGATATATCTATATATATTCATATATGTACGATTTTTATGTAGAATAAAGAGCTTCAAAAAAAAATATATTAATAATTAAATATAAATATAATTGATTTAAAAAAAATTGTATTTCCTACACTAAGGTCCGAAGTCACCAAAGGTGATAACCTAAATATTACTTAAGTCAGTACTGGCATTAAAGTTACAACTGTGAAATTGGCCAATAATTTATCTGGATATTGATGCTATTGCTATTGCTATTGATGCTAAAATAAGGATAACAAGAATATGATTTGAAATAGTAGACCTTTCATAAATTATTTCGCGGGCTATCAAATTTCGGTAATCAATAATCTTTTTCGATTTGCAGTATGAATATTCATTGCTATATTTCAAACTGTTAGTTGTGGAATTTATATAACGTAATAATAAATCGGCTATTACTATAAACTTTTTATTAATTTTGTTTTTAGTAACAATAAAAGTGCTTTAATGCTTATCGTAAAAATTACGATATATGCGACAATAAAATATTAAACTAAGAAATTGTTAATTATGATGATTTCTAACGTCAAGAAGTATTAGATGAATATAGAATATAATTTATAGTTTCTACAAAAATGTTTGTTTTTAATTAATAAATTTGATACATTATATATTTTCTGTAAAAAAAACCGATTACAATATTATCTTGTAACAAACTCTGATTCAACAATGCATTTACAAAAAATTGGTTTAAAATTCAAGCAATGCCGTATAATGCAGGCTCAAATGGTTTTCTTGCAGCTGTCAGGTCGTTTTTGCAAAAAAAAACAAAAACAAAAATCGACAGCAAAGCAGATGTTGAAAATATTAAAGTAAAACGCGCGTAAATAGGAAATAAAAAAGAATTCTAATTATCATTGTTCTTTATATGTGTATGTGATAGTTATGTTCAAAATGAAATTTAATTTAATTGTTGCAGTTTCTGAAGATTTTGGCATCGGTTTAAAGGGAGATTTACCATGGAAGTTAAAGTAGGATAAAACGAATACACACCTTCAACTAAGCAATGATTTATTTAAATTATTTTCGCAGATCTGAGCTAAAGTACTTTAGCAACACTACCAAACGTGTTGTAGATAGCAACAAGCGAAATGCTGTAATAATGGGAAGAAAAACATATTTTGGAGTTCCAGCAAATAAAAGACCTCTACCTGAGCGTTTAAATATCGTTTTAAGCACTACACTAAAGCCTTCTGATTTGCCAAGTGATGTGCTGCTATGCCCCAATTTAGAAGCAGCCATGAAGCATTTGGAAACTGCTGCCACAAATTTAATGCCACAAATAGAGACTGTATGGATAGTTGGAGGTAGCGGAGTTTATAAAGAAGCAATGGATTCTGAACGTTGCCATCGTTTATATATAACTAAAATATATAGTAAATTTGAATGTGATACATTTTTTCCTCCAATACCAGAATCTTTCAAAGAAGTACTTAATGATTCGCAAACTCCTCTTGGTATACAGGAAGAAAATGGTGTGACATATGCATACAAAATTTTAGAAAAGCAAAAAATTTAATATCACCTTTAATAAGCTAGTAATACAATATATTTCTTTATATATATAATCACACTAAGAATTTCTTTATTGTTTTTTATTTGCATCCTTCGTTATTATTGTACTATCATCATCTATTCCTTTTGCTGCAAGCATAAGTTCATACAATTGAACGGCTTGGTCATCTTTGAGTATTTCCACAATTTTCGGATCCAGGTCACCGCCCAAACGACCTTTTGGCTTACCACGTATTCCCAATTGTGTACTCAGTGTTGCTGCGTATTTCTATTAATATATAAATACAACTCCAGAATTACTGAAATATGAAAAAAACCTTGCCAAAACTTACAGCCCATTCTGTCATAAACAACTGCGCTTCCATAGGTGTACATTTTAAATGACGTCTGAATTCATCTTTAGCATACTGGTCCCCCAGATCTCTGAGTTCTTCTGGAAGTCCTATAATTGCATTGCATAAATTAATTAATTAACATTAATATCATGTTGTTTGTTTGCTATTGCAAAGAATTCTTACCTCGGTGCAAACGTAAGATAGTTTTGTACAAAAGTCTAACCTTTTGAGAATGTGTCAACTGTTCCATTAAATGTTTTGACATTTTTTGTGCTCTCTCACGCGTTTTCAATTTATCTAAAGGAAAATGTGATATAATTGAATTTGACAATCTTTCGTACGATTATGAGATAAATTTGTATTATTTAATTTATCATTTTATTTCGTTAGTATTAAAATTTAAAACGTAAGAGTTAAAGAAATAAATAAAATAAATAATTGGTTTATTTTAATTAAACACAATATTTTTCTGTGTTTTTGAAAAATTTAAATAATTTTAACTGTCATATAATGCGAACAATTTTTTGTGGCTTTTCATTATCTTTAATTTTTCGGTAGAGTAAGCAACACTGTTCAGAATATACGAGAAGATTCTTCGTTTTATTATAAGGGTATGAAAGAAATTCAAGAGCTCATTCCTTAATTAAGTGTTAGATTGGCCGGACGTTATTGCCGTGTAATTTATTAGAGTGTTAAGTGAAGTTGCACATTGCGATTAATATATATTATATTTTAGTACATTTTGAAAAGGGAACAAGTAATTAATAAAGGTATGTATTTTATATTCAATATTATCATTAAATGATGTTTAATGAATTTAAACAAAGAGCTTAAAACTTAAAAATATGTTAAGTTAACCACGTGTTTTATAATGGGTCGCCATTCCATGTATCGTAACGTTTTTTCTTTTGCAATTATATTTTTATATAAATCAATTTTAAAGTAATTTGAATATACATGCGGGAATTAGTTTCAATACGAATAGTTTTGAAACTATTCTAGTAAATTATTGAATATATTTAATGAACACTAATTTGGTAAAACTAATTGTGCTCTTAAAAAAATCGATAATAAAAATGGAGAATATTATATTGCCTGGTTTCTAAGCATTTTTTAAAATTCTGCTGTGATCTAGAAAATTCCATTGAAAAAGCCGCTCGTCCGCCATTACTGAAAAATTTTCTTTGTTCTTATTCACATGTGTTTTCGCGTGACTCATACGTTTTGTGGAATTGGCCGTCATTAACGAATGTAGAACAAAAGTTTTTGTACATTTTTGGGATGTAAAAAACGTGTACAGATTTTATATTTGTTAAATATATTTATTTCAAATGAACATGAAATATATTAGTACAAAGTTCATGGGTAACAAAATTATTTCAGGCGTTGCCATATTTCATGCGCTTAAACGCACAATAAATTACTGGAAATTTCCATTAAATTATCGTTCCTTCTTTTTCTTTTTTCACCTTTAAAAAAATTTTTTTTTTTTTTTGTTATATGCACATTAAAATTATTTTTTTTTGGTTTATACTAATATAATTTTTTTTGTTCATATTAATATTTTTTTTTTGTTCATATTAATATTATTTTTTTTTTTATTCATATTATTTGTATTTAATAATTATTATCTGAATATTGTAACTTATCGGGAGCTGAATCACGCTTGCCATAAAATCTGTATGTGTATGTGTGTGTTCGATGGGTGATTTGTAGTTTAGTGTTCATTGCCTTTAAACTTTCATTATTTAAACACGAGAATTAGAGAGGAGAGGATTATTTTAATTTATATTTCTATTTAATATTATATATTATGTTGTACATGTTGTTGGTTAATTTAATATAAGAAGTTCAATTTACATATGTTTTAATTTATACTTATTTTTATGCTGTGTGCTGTGCAACTTCATTAAAAATTGTAGTTGATTATATTAACATTTGGATCTGTTTTTCTTTTCAGATGTCGAAAGCACCTGCAGTTGGTATTGATTTGGGTACTACCTATTCTTGCGTAGGTGTATTCCAACATGGTAAAGTTGAAATTATTGCCAACGATCAGGGTAATCGTACCACACCATCATATGTTGCCTTCACTGAAACTGAGCGTCTTATTGGTGATGCAGCTAAAAATCAAGTTGCCATGAATCCAACTAACACCATTTTCGATGCTAAGCGTTTGATTGGTCGTAAATTTGATGATTCTGCTGTACAATCAGATATGAAACATTGGCCATTCGAAGTTGTAAATGTAGATGGCAAGCCCAAAATTCAAGTTATCTATAAGGATGAAAAGAAAACCTTCTTCCCAGAAGAGATTTCATCCATGGTCTTGACCAAAATGAAGGAAACCGCTGAAGCTTATTTGGGCAAAACTGTAACTAATGCAGTTATTACAGTACCAGCTTATTTCAACGATTCTCAACGTCAAGCTACGAAAGATGCTGGCACTATTGCTGGTTTGAACGTTCTTCGCATCATTAACGAACCTACTGCCGCTGCTATCGCCTACGGTTTAGATAAGAAAACTGCTGGTGAACGTAACGTATTAATCTTTGATTTGGGTGGTGGTACTTTTGATGTGTCCATTCTTTCCATCGACGACGGTATATTCGAGGTCAAGTCTACTGCTGGTGACACCCATTTGGGTGGTGAAGATTTTGATAATCGCCTAGTCACTCACTTTGTTCAGGAATTCAAGCGTAAGCACAAGAAAGATCTTACTTCCAATAAGCGCGCTTTACGTCGTTTACGTACTGCTTGCGAGCGTGCAAAACGTACTTTATCTTCTTCAACTCAAGCAAGTATTGAAATTGATTCACTTTTCGAGGGTACCGATTTCTATACATCGATCACACGTGCACGTTTTGAAGAACTCAACGCTGATTTGTTCCGTAGCACAATGGATCCAGTTGAAAAAGCCTTACGTGATGCTAAGCTTGATAAATCGGTTATCCATGATATTGTATTAGTTGGAGGTTCCACCCGTATACCCAAGGTGCAACGTTTATTACAAGATTTGTTCAATGGCAAGGAATTGAACAAGTCTATAAATCCTGATGAGGCTGTTGCTTATGGTGCAGCCGTTCAAGCTGCTATTTTGCATGGTGATAAGTCGCAAGAAGTTCAAGACTTACTCTTGCTTGATGTAACCCCACTTTCGTTGGGTATTGAAACTGCTGGTGGTGTCATGAGCGTACTTATTAAGCGCAATACTACCATTCCAACAAAGCAAACTCAAACATTCACTACATATTCTGATAATCAACCTGGTGTGTTAATTCAAGTTTATGAAGGTGAACGCGCTATGACCAAGGATAATAATTTACTTGGTAAGTTCGAGCTTTCGGGCATTCCACCAGCACCACGCGGTGTTCCACAAATTGAGGTGACATTCGATATTGACGCTAACGGTATCTTGAATGTGACTGCTCTTGAACGCTCTACCAACAAGGAAAACAAGATTACCATTACCAACGACAAGGGCCGTTTGTCAAAGGAAGATATAGAACGCATGGTCAATGAAGCTGAAAAATACCGCAGTGAGGACGAAAAACAAAAGGAAACTATTTCTGCTAAAAACGCATTAGAGTCATACTGTTTCAACATGAAGGCCACTTTAGATGAAGACAGTTTGAAGGGTAAAATTTCAGATTCTGAACGTACTACAATTCTTGACAAATGTAATGAGACAATTAAATGGTTGGATGCCAATCAACTCGCCGATAAGGAAGAATATGTTCATCGTCAAAAGGAATTGGAATCTGTTTGCAATCCAATCATTACCAAGTTATACCAAGGTGCTGGTGGTCCTCCAGGTGGCATGCCCGGTGGTATGCCAGGCGCTGGTGCTGCCCCAGGTGCTGGTGCAGGTGCCGGACCAACCATCGAAGAAGTTGATTAAACGAATACACCAAAATCCTTTATTAATAAAACAAAAGTTTTTTTATTTTTTTTTTTTTATTAAATTGATTTGTTCATTACTTTATTGCTTTTAAGAATATTGCATTAATAAAACAAAACGAATAAAAGCTACGTTCATTTAATAAAAAATACATTTTGTTTTCATAAAAAAAAATAAGTAAAGAAAAATTTATTAAGGTATTGTGTGTATAGTGTTCGGCGTCTTAACAGATGGACAGTTAGGGTTTATGTGGTTGACGTTACTTCAATCATTCGAAGTTTTATTCTTTATAATCACCAAGTGATAGCCTTACATATACAAATAAAATGGAATCATGAAAGATTTTAAAAACATTCCATCTAAAATATGAATGCTAAGAGGTCGAAAATAAAATCAACAGTCTTTGCTTTAGAAATACAGCGCAAAATGTCAGTCATGATCGTAATGTTCATACCGTTGGGAGCGAGTACCTTATCTACCTATTTCTTTACTTAATAAAATAAAATAAAAGCTTTGTTACAACATTTATCTAAACAATTATGAATTTATTTCAATCGATCCATGCAAAATTGTCTTTTTTGTCTATTTGTTTAGTTGATATTATTGGTAAATCTATGTTGTTTAATTTGTATGTGCCGCCTACATTGAATCCATTATAATCAGGACCATTACTAGTAATATTTGTATGTATATTTCTGTCTGGTGCCTGTCTTATGTGAGATGTCTTTAGCTTTTGCGTTATAAGGTTCCCAATACCAACAGGTTTGGTCTGTGCGGATTTAGTGTATTTTTTTAAATCGAAATCATCAGAATTGGGAACTTGTTTCTTTTTGCTTGGCGCTACCTGATTCAAGTAGGACTGCCATTGCTGCAATTTATCGTCTGCCGCACGCAGTTGATCAATACTTTTTTCATGACCTGGATTAAGACCGATTGGTTGTATGCCAGCAATTTCATTCAAGTTGACTTTAATAGGTGCAAGTGCAGATATAGCACGTGACAATCCAATTTGAGAATGTCTTATGCGATGTTCCATCAAATCGGCGCCCAATAACTCTTCATTAGGATCCATGCGTATTGGTATTATCCTGTTTATAATAAAAAGTAAAAAAAATGTTGAACATATACCCCAACAGGCTAGACAGAGCGCAGAAAGACTTTGTATTCCGATTAAATACCAACCACCACCTTTGAATAAACCTTTGCGTCCTTTTGTAGTTTCTAGTGGTATTGGATTATCAGCGAATAGCCCTACAGCAAGAACGCCTACAATTTAGAATACAATTATAACAATGTAACATGCAATATTCAGTAAAGTTTTATTAAGCCTATTTTACCCCAAATTCCACAGACACCGTGTACAGCGCTAGCACCAACGGGATCATCCACGCCTAAGCGATCGAAAAGTGGCATAGCGATAACACAAAGTAACGCTCCTAGCATGCCAATAATCAGTGCTTCCCAAGCGCGATATAGAAAACATCCAGCTGTTATTGAAACTAATGAACCAAGAACACCATTGATTAAATCAATAATATCCAAGCGACCGTCGTTTCTCCACAGTGAATAACTAGTTTTTTATGAAAATTTTTCTTTTATATTTTAAAGACAGAACCATTTAAAGTATATTTACATTGAACTTGTGATACCACCACCAAAAGATCCCATCATAGTCATAACAGCTGCTCGGGCAGCATATTGCCATTTGGCACCACTTACACCATAGGTACTACCTGAATTAAACGCTAACCAACCCCACCATAATACAAATAACCCCATACAAGCATTTACTGGATTACCTAGTGGTAGAGGATCATAGCCATCAGCATAACGACCTAAACGTGGACCAAGCATAGCAGCTGACGCAAAAGCTGCAGCACCACCTAAAATTTATTATTCTGAGTTAGATAAATGAAAGTAAATTTAACTTGTTATTTATGTATTATGTTACCAATTAAATGTACAGGACCACTGCCAGCAATATCGACAGCACCTAAATTATTTAAAAAACCATGTTCGCCCCAAACCCAACCAGCCGGTATGCAATAGACAGCAGTGTTCAGCAATGAAAATAAACAGTAGGATTTAAAGTTGCAACTATAATGAAGATAGCAATAGTCTTAAAAACCGTATGCTTTTTATAGTGTTTTATTAGTAACTACCGCTCTGCCATGGCACCACTGACAATGGTTGTTGACGTAGTAGCAAATGATAATTGAAATAAAAATGCAGCAAATATTTGACCCATTAGAGGATCACCAACTGGTGGATCCAAAAGAAAATCTCCAATTGCTTTTAATACAAAAATAAATATATATTATATAGTGTTAAAAATCTTTTTTAAAATGTCTTCGTCTAACCTATAAACGGATTTGTTAAAGGTCCACGTCCGTAACTCATACCATATCCAAATAGCCAATATGTGAAACCACCAAGCACAATGTCAATTACATTTTTCATCATAATATTTACTTCATTTTTAATCGAAACACAGCCAGATTCAAGCATACCAAAACCTGAAAAAGGAAATTAAGAAAAATTTACATTCTGCATTAAATGTTTAGGGTCTCACGAACGGTTGAGTGTTTCCGGAAGTAAAATATGGATAGCGCAATATACTATCACCTATCTTTTCCTCAACAAGTCGTTCGATAAACCTTCTCGTGGGTAGACTGTTACCACTGATTATCGACGTCGAGCCGAGACAGTGCCGGCATGAGCTCTTCACTCAAAAATGCGAAAACCGAGGATGTACGATTTTCTCTGTAAATAATTTTTGTAACAGCGTGCTTTGCATTATACTAAAATTATCCATCCAGCCTGTTAGCTTAAATGGCAGCCCCATCATCAGGCTATCGGTGATAGGCCGATAACATGTTGTATCTGAAAACTTTCTTATCCCTAGAATGTCTACAAAAAATATATATAGATATAGATAACGAAATAAAAGAATCCTTTTACGATCTGCTTAATAATGCTATAGCTAACACTCCATGCAACACCTGTTAGTAGTTATGGGCGACTTCAACGCCAAAGTGGGCAAAAACAACTCTAGCTTTGAACATATAATGGACAAACACGGTATCGGTGTGATGAACGATAATGGACACCGACTTATAGAATTCTTTAACACTAACGAACTAAAATTGGCGGGATATTGTTTTCACATAAACATAAGCACAAAGTTACATGGGTCTCCCCAGATGCTGTTACTAAAAATCAGATAGATCATGTATGTGTCAGTGGGAAATTGAGCAATTGTTCTCTGATGTGCGAAGCAAACGAGGTGCAGATATAGCTTCAGACCACCGTTTTGTGGTAACAAATATCTATACGTGAGCTCGTTATCCGAAAATGCACCATGCAAAGAGATATGTAAAGTATGATCTTACAAAGATTAAGAGAAACGATAAAAGACAAGCTTTCATCAATACGCTACATATTAATACTGTTAAGCTGTATAATCCTGCAAATGAGACTGCTCGAAACACTACAGCAAATATTGAGTATTTATGGAACAGCATAAAGAAAGCCATAACTGATACATGCAAAGAAAAACTGTAAAGAAAACTGACAGAAATGAGGACTTAATTACTGTACTGTACCTATTGGTAGGTGGGCCAAACTGAAAAACGATATACATAAGTGTTTCTAGAAATGTAAACCAACGAAGACAAATACAGGATCAATACAGACAGATAGATAAAAATATCAAACGCGCTGTGAGAGATGATAAAAAGAAAAATATGGATAATGAATCACCGATACTTGTAATAAAAGAACACTTCCGATAAAAAATCTAGATGATAACCTATTGACTACTGTGAAAGATCAGCTCGAAAGGTGGAGAGAACACTTTGCGAATGTGTTAATTTTTTAGCGTACGGACACGGAGCTTCACTGAGTGAAATTGTATTACCATTGCCTATAAAGAGAATGGCTAAAGAATGGCTAAAATGCTGGAACTGACAACATCCCGGCTGAAATACTTAAATACTTAAAGTAGATGCGCAGCATATTTGTAAACATTCTCAGCTCTCTGTTTATTGGGATATGGAGATTTGAAGTTTTTTCCACGGGGTAGATGCGGGGCATAATTGTAAAGATAACAAAAAAAAGCGATGCCAGGCTGTAACAACTAGCGCCGCATAACATAATTTTACGTCGTCATGAAAGTGTTCATGAAGATAATTTTGGAACAAATCATAAAACATGTTGACCACCAAGGTGGAGATGCATAACATCGTTATCCCGGAAAAGATAATCTCCCTCATACGCCTCGGATACTTTTAGTGCAATGCCTGGAGTAAGGCAGGGATGTATATTGTCACCCGTACTGTTTCTAATCGTTATTGATGCTGTTTTTAAACATGCAACCGAAAATAATGGCCGTGGCATCATATGGACCCCTTTATACCCACTAGAATCTTTGGATTATGGAGACGATAAATGCAAATTGCCACATCGTTTTACCGATAAGTGCCAAAAGTTAGGCTTCAGATCAATGCAAAAAAAAACCAAAGATATGCGGATTAATACAACGTCCAATGAGCGACTCGAACTTCAAGGCCAAATAGTGGAACAAGTTAATGGATTTTAATACTTCGGAAGTGTAGTAGCTATTGATAATGGCACTATGCAAGACGTGAGTGCAAGAATACGAAAGGCGATTGGCGCGTTTACAAAAATAAACACAATATGGAGATCTAGCTTTTACAGGTTAACGAAACCTGTAATGAAACATACAAAGTACGTGCGTTTGTAAACCGGTGCCTTCGGAAAATATTACGCATGTTTTGGCCAAACCGAATTTCAAACTAACAACTGTGGGACAGAACGAATACTAATGACTACCATAAATATCCGCAAAAGAAAGTTTTTTCTGGATTGGTCACACATTACGAAAGCTGTCAAGCCCTTAAGTATAATTCGCAGAACAGTAAAAGAAGAGGAAGACCTAAGATTATCTGGCGCAGATCAAGACTAAATGAAATCAACAGCCAATCCACACACCTTGGTAAGTCATACATCAATATTGTTGAGCTCAGAGAAATGGTAGTAAGAAGGCAAAGATGGAGGCAATTTTCAGATAGCCTATGCCCAGTATGAAGGCAGCTTGGAATCATGTGACGCCAACCTTTTAAAAATATTTAGTATAATATTTAGAAACAACATTAATTACTTAACAATGTTAAGTAACATTAATTACTTAATAATGTTAAGTAACATTAATTACTTAATAATGTTAAGTAACATTAATTACTTAATAATGTTAAGTAATTAATGTGTGCTCAAATACACCGATCAACTGTGTTGATATAAAGAATACAAGTCTCAAGTGAGAGTAATTCTTTTAGAAATCACTGCTTTCTCCATTCATTACGGAGAACTAAAAGCTGCAACTTACTACCTTCTTACCATACATTGTAACACTAACGGGAAATAATAACAGCTGCATAGGTGTGAACTAAAAGGTGTACTGAACTAGAAGTGAACTAGAAGTGCCCCTAATTAAGTACTTATTTCAGTTTTTTAATTTTAAAAAATTAAATTTAAGAGATATTATAAAAAAAAAATTTTGTTAATTAAAAATATCATCATTAACGGGGTATAAACAGTGTTAAAGTTCAATAAGATTGCTTAGCCAACAATTATGTTCATCACTGTTGGTATATATGTATGTATAGTATATGTAAAATAATTACTAATTAACAGCAGATATATGAACTTTTTATTTTTTTAAATTATAATTATATATCAAAATACGTCCAAGTGCAAGACAGATAATTTCATATAGTAAATCGGATAGTTTGTTTATCCACAAAATTAATGCCCCTGACGAATTTATTTTAAAAACTCTTTAAGTACTGTAAATTATGTGGACGCTTGTGCTACAGGAAAACGAAAAGATTTTGCTGACAAAGATTTTTGAGAAAATTATAATACTAATTTATTCATGCACTTGTACAGCATAACGGCAGCCAATGTCTATAAGTGGATAACCTCACTTTATCTTAATAGATGGAGAGAGTTGAGCACTTGTAGACAGACCAAACTCATGTTACCAAAACCGTGGGTCAGAGAAGCTATTCGCGGAGCATCCTAAGCTGGCTGACCTCACTAATTACTGGACATGGCACCTCAAAAAGATAACTCTTGCTGAGGAAGACACTTGCAGACTATGTCTAGAAGAAAAGGAGACAGCGGTGCATATATTGTGCCCATATCCAGCATTGGCAAGTACGAGGAAGACTGTCTTGGAACACCATTGGGTTGGTGACGACTTGGCAGGAAACCTCAAGCTAAATGAACTGCTTGCATTAACAAAAGATGTAGTTATGCGAACGGAAGCCATTCCAGCTTTCACTCAATAACAACATCCGAGAATCGCAGGACGAAAAATGACCCAAGTCGTTTCGTGGTCTACTTCGACTAATCTTTCACTTCAGTGGGGCCACTTGTTGGACAGTGCGCTGTCCCAACGTCCCACCATATATATATTCATGCACTTACACATTTTTATGACAGTATACGAGTACAAATTCTGTCGGAGAATTCTGTTGGGTAGAAGTCTAAACACTTGACCGACTGTTGGAGTTTGTACTGTCAGAGAAGGAGACGTTGTGCTTAGTTAACTTTAAAATAGATTTCAATATTTTGATATTTTAGTGTAGATATCAAAGAATCCAGTCGACAATTTCATCATCAGTATTTGGATTATCAAAAGTAAAGTTTAAGAGCACATTTTAATGCACATTGATGTACAATTTATCCTTACAAATAAGAGTGGATGAGATATGTAATAAAAAACGTCTAGGGTTATACTCGATTGATTGTAGATTATATTTTAAACATAATATTTTAGTTGCTTGAAATTTTTATCGAATACAATAAAATTCATCACTAGGTCCCGTTTGCTTACTTACCCGTTTGCATAGTGAATATAATAAATGAAGAGGTTAGAACCCAATTAGTATCTTCAGTGCTTAAATCGTACAGTCCAGGTATAACATAACTACTATTCCGTATAACGCCCTTAAGCGCTGTTGCCTGGGAAGCGGTGACATTTAATACTTTAGAAGCCATTTGGATTAGTATTTAAAAAGATAACTGCTATATGTAAAATCACTAATATTTATATATTTCAAAGTTTATCCAATTAGCAGCGATGTAGGTGCTATCCGCTCCGATGTTGATGCCTTAATGCACTCGACATGCGTGCATATCATTTGAATTAATTTTATAAGACGAAAAAACAAAAAAGAAAAAACAATTACAGCTCGTAAAACAATTTATACCCTATTTTAATAATAATTTAAATTTAACTCCCCAATTAATGCACTGAAAATAATTTATGAATGAATTTATGACCAGATTTATGGCCACTTCACTATGGCCACTACGTTATTAAAATTGCATTTTATTATTGAAAAACAAGTGCAGTGGAGGTTATGATTGCCTAACAGATTGCCTCGGTATATTGGGAATTGTTATCCTTGCACTTTCCACTTTTCTTACTAATCTGATTAAAAATAATACAGATTGTGGTATATTCGACTTAAAATTACTAAAAGATTGATTCATATAGATAAAATGCTTAAAAGCGCGCACTGTTTCGCGTTTGTATGTCCCCGTATATAATATGTTATATGGGCAGAGATAGATGTACGTATGCAGTAGGTGCACAAGCTATTATGATGTCTACTAAAGCTCCTTATATGAATGAAATCTTTTCACTAAATGCATTACTGCAATTTTGTATATATATGTGAAATTGGAAATTTTTCGAAGTGTACTCTAATATCCGACAATCCGGCATTAACATACTCGTATTCGAGTGGCATTGAAAAAGACCAATTCTAATGACGGTACTTGTTTACATTTAGTGCACCTTTTCGGTTACGGTGTTTACGATTTTTTCAATGGAATACGAGTATACAAATTGGCCATATTCTGTAGTTAGCTTGCATGTCAACACAACTTTAACTATTGAAAATTAATCTGTTTTGTTAGAACGTTTATTTTAAATTAGTCAAACAATCAAAGACCTGCTGACATAGTAACACCTACACGTCAACTATATTGCACTCACTCACTTCACTCACTTCACTCAGATTAAAAGGAAAACTGTAGAAATAGCTCGTACATGTTCCGGAATGAGACACATGAATTACACTTACTTCAATAATGAAAAGACTATAATGAAAATAAAGTCGGTCTTCACTAAAAAATATACTATGTCTCCTTTATCACTAAAAATATTCAATAAATACAATAACAAATTATTAGGAGAGTGAAAATATTGTAGTATGCCAAAGTATGCCAAAGTACAATAACATCTTCGAAATTTCAAAACACTCAAAATTTAATAATAGATCAACCAGGTCGGTGGCCAAAATTTTACTTGAGGTGGCTTACAGATTAAAAACCGAACAATTTTGGAAGTAGTCTCCAGTTTTTTTCTTTTTGATAAAAAAGCTACCATTATAGAATAAGGAGCAAAAATTCGATTTGTAGATCAAAGACCGTAAATTTTATCAACAACGGAAATGGGACCTATTCTAACTTCTGAACTATTGCAAATAGAGAAAAAATAAATACACCAAATTAAAGCCGATATAATGTGACAATAAAATGAATTAGTCCATCACGGTCAACTGTTGTAATTGATAAAATAGTCAAAATCGTAAGGATATACATATACTTCATTACCCGGAATTAAGTTGCATAAATTCTAAAATCTCAGTTTATGCTTCTTCAAGTGTTGGAGTTCATTCATGTTGGTTTTTACTGTAATAAGGACATTGTATTTTATTGACGAACTTATATAGCTAATATAGCTCATCAGTTCAATTCAGTGGTAGTCGCCTTTAGCCCTACCCTGAATATTTACCTGGAATCAACGTATTTCTGAGTTACAAGAATTTGGAGACACAATTAATTATGAGTTTTTTTCCTTCAAACATTTGCATTTAATCGAAAAAGATTAATCAAAAATCTATAAAATCATAAGCTTCATTCTATACGTATTATAACCAATGCATAGAGTGAAGTGAATCACTCTATGCACTCATTGAATTAGTGCCTTTACCTATTCAAAACCATTATGTGCTATGAAAAAGTGTATTACGTAGTTCCTCAACAAATGAAAAATAAACTTATGGTTGAAAAACAATTCATCTAATCGATATTGTTGCATGGTGTACAAGGCCACCAGTCCAACCTTACCTAACCCAACTGCATGAAGCGATGTGTTTATGATTTTAGGCGATTTGATATTGACAAACACATAAATACTTGTGTCTACCTGTTCTTCTTTGGATTAATATCTATTAAGATGCTGTGAAATACTTTTTGAATTGTGTTCAGTGATCGAGATCAGACAGAGCCCTGCAATTTTTATCTCTAGATTTAACTGTATCACACTACAAAATTTTTTTTCATCTATTCGGTCAGACCTTGGAGCCCACTATCAAGCACAAATAGGATTGTAGCTAACACAGCATTTTGCAACTATATAAATTTAGTAGTTTTGTGTTCGTAAAAATGGATTCCTAAACCACTTAATCGAACTGCATGATATTTATACAAGGTTATCTCTATAGAATGAGCCCAAATGTAGACTATTACATTTTTACCTAGGATAAATATTAAGGATAATCACATATAAGTAATAGGTACCTCTAGCTCAAAAAGTACCCGGATTTTGTAAATAAAACACAGAAATTTAAATTTTATTCCAAATTTATTTTATCTCCTTCAACGCTTAACCCAATCTTCCATACACTTTTCATAAGCCCGTGCAGATATGGCTTTTAGTTCCTTCAGCGAATTCTTTTTTACCGATTCAATCTACTCAAAACGTTTACCACGAAGGGGCAATTTAAGTTTCGGGAACAGGAAAAAGTCGCACGGCGCCAAATCTGGCGAATATGGTACCTGAGCGATGACAGTGGTGCCGTATTAGGTCAAAAAATCGCGTATAACAAGAATTTTCCATAGTAAAAATCGCTAAATGCACTTGAGGTAGTCGCACATTAACAGCTGTTGTAAACAAACTAATTGACAGATGGCGCTCAAATTTGTACCATATGTCAAGAAGGGGTGTACCAACATAACAAAAAAAAGGTCCATTATTGAAAAAGGTCCATTATTTAAGGAATAGTTAACAAACAACAAAATCCGGATACTTTTTGAGCAGAAAGTAGTTACTATATAAAAGTGCAGACATATACTATAATATTTTTTTGTGTACGGTAAATATTTAATTTAGATATTTAATGGCACATTAAATACATTTTTTCAATAGACGCGTCAAGGGATATATAGGTAAAATGTTCTTACTTTAGGAGCTCCCATATAAAGTGTCGTCAAATTTGTCAGTGTGTCGCGTTTGGGGGTGTTAGTAATCAATTAATATGTTAATTAATACCGACGAGGTTGCAAATAATTAAACTGAAGTCATCAATTTCTTAGATATTTCTGATGTTACGTCGCATAAATTGTTACTACAGGTTACAGCGTCTATTATTCTTTAACGTAATATTAATCCACCTAAACTAGGCTCAAGTGATATTAAAGCAACAATTCTTAATAGAGAACCATACCTAAGTTATAAACCAACTCAACCGATGTATTAAAGTATGTACATACATATATATATATATCGTTGTTCTATTGAATTCAAAGTTGATCCTCAAATTTTAACAAATTTTTGAATGAAATCATTTTTTTTTCTGTGAGACTTTGTAACGCAAACAGGATAAAGATTGTTAATATTCAAAAAAAGACTATAGTGTAAGTATAAGCACACAAACCTTAAACCACTATTCTAAACTTTGCCATTAATTTGAAACCACAAACAATTTTTGAATATACCTATACAACATTTCATTCGAATTTCGAATAGAAAATAAAAATAAATGGTGTAGAAGTCTTTAACGTCTCTATTTGTTAGTGTCTCTATTTGTTAATAAATATAAAATAATTACTCAGGTTAGTAACGATACTAGATAAGGTTAAACCTCTATGTAGATTTTGTAGTCTGCATTTTAACGTATATAAGAATAAGAAGTACTTAAATCTTTACTCCTGAGATAAAGCCACCAAGCATTTTTACAAAAAATTTTCGAAGCCAGTTTTTAGACCAAACTTTGGATTTTGAACCTAGAGTCTGTGGGCTGTAGTTCTTCTATACATGTAAGGTGGTATTAAAACGTTGACCACTACCGCTATAAATACTACAAAAACGTAAAAATTTATTTTTGTTAATGTGATTTATTTTTATTTATAAACATCAGCAACGTTAAATAAAGTAGTCGAATATTATACTATTAAAGTATACACCAAATACTAAGTTAAATATGTAGGTATCAACTATTCGCTGTGTAGCAGGGCCTAGGACTATCATACATGTTAAAAGTTTTTAACATGGAAAGCTCGCGGTTACCTAAAATCTTAGCTATATCTCTACTGCAAGAAAAGAGCCACTTTTTTAAAACGTGGGCGAAACGCTGATATTCGACAACATACATTCGTGGAAGCAGTGGCAGCAAAATGTATTAGTAAAAATCGGTACTGCGTTTAGAGAAAAGTTCGTAGCAGAAAGTCGACAAAGCTTAACTCGCGTTTTACACAGACAACTTAATTTTGACTTTTTTTTTTTTTTTTTTTTTCAAAAGAAGGATTGGGAAGTAGTCTCCGCGTCACTGCATCCTCGAGGATTATTGTGACATACCCACTTCAGTTCCATAGACGAGTAGCAGTTAAGAATGTCAGTATGTCCTTTGGAGAGATGTTGCCTAATTCCGTTATAAGCGGATAGGCAATGGATAAGTAGCGAAGTCTGAGTCTTGCAAGACTATCACAGTGACACAATAAGTGTTCTGCTGTTTCCTCTTCTTCGTAACAAAGTCTACAGCTATCGTCTCCAGTAATACCTAGATTCAATAAATGTTTTTTAACTCCGCAGTGTCCATTTAGAAAACCTGTGACAAGTCGGATGCCACTTCTGTTCAGCGTAAGTAGCTCCCTAGTTCTGGCTTTTGATCGAAACGGTATGGATTCTTTTGCTTGTCTGCAGGTAATTGTATTATCCCAATCATTCTGAACTGCTCTTTCCAGCCATTCATTAGTTTTAAGTTTGAAAAATCTCCACGAAGGACCGCAGAATGGTTGT